AACATAAATATATTGAGACTATGGAAGGCTGGCTTATTGGTGTAAGTGATGTACAGTATGGGTCAGCACCAGGTTGGCAAACAGACAGCGTATGGTCCTAAAACACACTCAAGGGTCCTGGAATGGATATTGTGAGATGCATTGGGACGANGACTCCCAGATGCCAGCATGCACTCCCTGCCTTGCTGAACTGGAGCCATTTCCCACATCACTCACGATGGTGTCAAGTGTCATGTTGCATTGGTAAAGTGGATAACCCAAGACTGGGGCTGTGGTCAGCAAACATTTGTATTTGCTGAACGCTGCCTGACATTCCACACTTCACTGAAAATGGGCATATTTTTTGTCAAGGCATGGAGGGGCTCAGCCACAGAAGCAAAGTATTTAACAAACCACATAAAGTATGATGCAGGGCCGGAATTCTTCCAGCATGCTGAACCATTTAGCAGTGGAGAGGATCTTGTCCCAACCCTTGGTCCGGCAGTGGCTCTGTCAGTAGGGGCTTGGACTGGGAGCTGTAGGGTTGCCGGTTCAAGTCCCCGAACAGACTTAAAGTATGGAGTGTGGACTGCTACATGGAGAGGTCCGAGTTCACCTCCTGCCCTGCTGTGGTTCCCTTGAGCAAGGCACCAGACAACACCCGCACTCCCACTGCTCTTACTAGACTCCTGGTACTAGGATGGGTACAAATTTCACTGTGTGTGCTCTGCATGTGTGACCATTAAAGAGGGTTTCATCCCTCCCAATATATTATTATTGTGTCTTGGATGTGGGGTAGTGGTTACGTATATATCCTATATATATCCTTTTTGAAGACCATCACCATAGGCAACGTCCAGCTGCTGTGATCGCGGAGAGCCAGACCTGCCTCCAGGCTATTTTGTATCTGCTTGTTGGCACTTACTTGTTTCTCTTACTGGACCATGGGAGGTTCAAGTCTGCCCTGGCTGGACTGTGTCTTCAGGCTGTACAGCCTAGGCAGGTTAAAGAAAACCTGCAACGGCCCCCTTTTTTGATAGTTATGGGAACGTTAACGGGATTGAAGATGCGTAGGGGCACAGTCTTAGAGCATTGAGTTTCCAAGAGGTATTGGGCTACCAGCAGTTTCAGTTTTCAACAAAACCCTGGGTGGGTCTAAGCATTACTTCCCCTTTCATTTGTTCTTTTAAACTAGTGAGGCCTGGTATTATGTACTCCGGCCCTTGCTCCACTAAAACCGGTTGGGCTACTCTCACTTCTCGTGATAGTGGCTTGCTTTGTGACTGGAAAAATAGTACCTCTTTGTCAAACTGCCCCATGTGATTAGAACCATACTCTGCTTGGAGTGGACCAGTTAGATGGCCTAGCAGGGCCTCCTCTGAAGCTAGGTCTACAACCAGGAAGTGTATGATCACTTGGTGATGTTTATCTGGACAGGGATGTTAGCTTCAATGATCACAGGTTTGTGTGCAGCCCAGTACCAACCACAAATGTCACAACTGATGGCTGAAAAGGAGACAGGACCTCTGGGAGAAAAGCTTGTAGTGACACAGAGACAATACACTTATCTGCATGGGCGTCGCAGCCATTATATTAGGGTGGGAGAAGTCCCCCCCACTTTTTGAAATGATTAGTTTAGAGAGATACAAACACTGAATAGTTTAGATGAGAAAAGGCATCGAAATGCCAGGTTACTAGTATTTATCATGTAAACAGGGAACATGAATAACCCGATCTCTCTGTGCTCATGTAAACACCATGATGTCCATGTAGAGATGCAGTCAGTGTGTTTTACCAATACACTCTCACTCCATAATCGTCCAGGAGCGACGTTTGGTCAGGGTCCCGTGGCGTGCAGTTGTGACGCTCCTAGGCTCCTTCAGCTTCATAAAGGGACGCAAATAGCTTTCAACTGATTGCAATGTATTCCCATCTGCGGCGGGATTTGACGCTCATGGAAGCACGGCACTCGTTTGTGTCGGCTGCCCTTAAAGGCAATGTGAGCGTCCATTCCCATTGGATAACGGAGAATTGTACACCCGGAAGTAAGTATTCCCCTTACTGTCGATTGATTTTACAGTGATATCTGCACTACTCATCGACTAAAAAACACCAGATTATCCTTGTTAATTACACAACATTGATTGGTTTAAATTGTGTGCAATGCTTTTGTATTTTTCCCCTTCGATTCGGAGAAACAAATATTTTTTCGGAGTAAAGGATGGCAGAAGACACTACACTACCCAGAATCCCCAGCTATCGTTTAGGACTACACCTTGTGCTCTGTTTGACAAACTCCTTTTTTTTTCACCATTCATTCCAATGGCTGGCGTCTATGTCACGTGATCTTCAAATTTCTCCCTGCAGAAAAAAAAAAACATGGCCGAACTTTGTTTTATTCTCAGTGGAAAATGCCTATTTTAA